CTGAAAATAAACCACAACACACACACACAAGGGGGACAAAGCACCATCTAGTCGGGCTCCGGTGGGGGCGGAGGAAGCGGTGGCGCTAGGCGGAAGGCAAGCGATCGAAGGTCGGCGAGGAGGGTGTTTGATGACATCCCGATCCTAAGGGCGGCTAAGCGGGCGCCAAAGCTGCAAGTACCAACACATTTTAAAAATGGCGTCAGTAGCGCGTGTGAGAGGCACCTTTTGGATGACAAGCTTATTGTGAACCGTCCAAAGTGTCCAAGTGAGGATCCCAACACAGAGCCATCTGATATGACGGTAGCGAGGGGGGGAGGCATTGAGCTCCGTGAGAAGGTCAGGAAAGTTGGAGTTGCACCACCGTCCGCGAACCGCCTCGCGAAAGCTGGACCAAAGAAACTGGGCCGTGGAACACGAGAAGATGTGGTTAGCATCCTCCACCGTGTCGCACAAAGGGCAAAGCCCATCTCCGGGTCCATTACGCTTGAGGACCTCAACTCCGGAAGGGAGACGGTCACGGATCCATTGCCACAGGAAGATCCTGATTTTCAAGGGCAAACGGATGTCCCAGATCAGACTAAACGGCTCGGGGGCTGGCGATGAGGCGATGACCGCGTACAGGGATTTGGTGGAGAAGCAGCCGGAGGATTCTAGACGCCAAGAGATGGCATCCGGAGTGTCGTTGACGCTCATCGAGAGAAGGGCGATGTCCTGGAGGAGGACGTCCCAGGCGGCCACTTCGGGTGGGCCAAAGGGACGGCGAAAAGCGAGGCGCCCCGACTCGACAGAGACCCGAGGGTCGACAGCAATGGCGAATAACTCGGGAAAACGAGCGGCCAGAGGCATGTCGCCAAGCCACCGGTCAAACCAGAACAAGGTCGCAGACCCAGTACCGACCGAGATGGAAGTGCCAATGCGCAGCACAGGGCGGAGGCCCGTCACACGTGCACATCCGTAAGTGTTCTGCCGGCTACCTTCTTCCCGCGCGTCATCCAGAAACGGCGGCATTGCGGCGACTATGCCCACGCACTGCGGCGGCTGTGCGGGATCTCGATGCCCACTCGATAGTTGCGATGATGGCAACCTGGAGGGTGGCCATGATGGTGGAAAACACAAGGAAAATTGTACCGATAGCAGTGAGATGAGCAAAATAGCAATGGCTTTCATGGCAGGATTGGCCGTTGGCAAGAATTGGGTTCAGCCTTTGATCAGCAAAAGAAGCATGGAACCTTTCGTCGTCATCACGAAAAGAGGGGTGGAATCTTTGATCATCAGCAGAAGAAGCGTCAAACCTTTGACGGTGCCATTGCTACCTCATTCTCTAGGATCTGCACGTGCAACTGGTTTGGGCCAGGTACTGTCGTTAGTACCCGATTCTTCGATGTCTTCACATGGACATGGTTTGGATCCGATGCCGATGCCGGTGACATGTGGAGAAACTTCATCTGGCCCTGTTGTCAGCTCTTCTGGGATTTTGTTACGTGGTGGATCAAAA